ATGTGGGTATTCGGTACTGTGCTCTGGTGGATGTTCATTAATGCATTTGCCTTTTTTTTTTCTGGTTACAATTATTCTCTCTTCTTATGGTTGTGACTTTGAAGGTAGGAATGCAACTTGAACAGGCTTGGGTTGAGCATTTGATAAAACTTTAATGGTCTGGACCGTCTGGTCCGAGGGCCCGGTCTTGATGCGGCATAAATTCTTCAAATCGAGTACCTGATTTGCACCCCAAGTTGTGGGAGTTGGTACCTTGAGGAGGGTGGTGATTGTTTTTTGCTATTGGGCTCTATTGTATAGTCTCATTCTGGTTGAAGGTGGCCTAATGGCAAGTTTTTCCCCTGGTTTTACAATGTGTGTAATACTGTTTTACATACTTTTTTAGTTGATTTAAAATTGACTAGTGTAAAGACAATTGCTATGCAAGTAAATTGGTAAAGATTAGGGGTGGTTAAGAAAAATTCAACTAAAAATTTGATTGAAACCGAATTGAAAATCCGGTTAACTAAATTGGTCGATTCAGTATTTTTAAAAAATCAAAGGTATTGATTCGGTTTCGATTAACTAATATAGAAACCAGTGGTTAATAAATATGCATTATATATTATTTATTATTTAAAATATAAAAAAATTAACAAACCAAATCAATGATTAATTGATCGGCTTTGATTACCAATTTTCCAAAAACTGATAATACTGGTTCTGGTTCTGTAAAAGTAAAATACAGTTTAATATTGAAAGATAAGGGAGTAAATAAAAATAGGTATATGAAGCAGAAGCTTCTGGTTTACATGGGCAAGAAAAGGTTTATGGAGCACAGTACCTGGGAAGCAGCTCAGTGTTGGTTGCCAGATGGCCATTTTCAAGAAGCAATTTCACTAATCTGAAACCCATTGTGTATCTTGCAAGAGACTACAGTTAAAAACAAATTTGAGCTTGACAGCAGGGTTGGATGTATTGGCATTGGGATTTTAGGTATATGATCAGTATATCCATGGCTAAGCGGAAAACCAAAGGAATATGAAACCAGCAGTGGACGCAATATACGTGGGACAGTAGCTATCAGTCAATCCCTTAGAAAGCATACAGCGCCCAGAACTGTCGGACAGAGAACATGGTGATTCTCAAAGAAGAAGTAAGCAGTTAAGCAGAAACCGGGACGCGGAGGTGAAAGATGAGGCATCTTGTTAAACTCAAAATGTTGGAACTTTTTGGCGTTTTATCTATGGGGGTGTTCTTTTTTTGGATTTTGAGAGGGGGAAAAGTTGGTCAATGGAATTTTGGTTCCCATTGACCAAGAATCTCATGTTCTTTTTTCAGATTTATGTGGGGACTAGAGAAAGTTTATTTGGATAAATAACTTTTCCACCTAGGGAGAAGTTGACAACACTTGAATGGAACAAAAATGCCCCTTTTAATAATAGATTTTTATGGCTAAAATAGTCATTACCTTATTAATACGAGAAGTTAAAGAACGTGGGTAAATACACTTACCCAAGTAAGTGTTTTCCAGGAAAAACTTACCCAGCTAAAATAACCTACCGAAAAACAAACATGGCCTATATGTAAGAAAATCTGAACCCTGATTATCATATACAGGGCGTCTTTATCATTTTTCTCCTTTACCTTCACTAACTTGTTTTGGTACAATTCATCTACTAGACAGAGTTCACTCTTTTTTTTTTTTTCTACGTGATGATATGAAAGTTAAAATTCAACATATTTTAATAATATTATATAATGCCAATGTTTCTAAATGGTGATTTTTCAAACATTTAATCTTTAAAATTTTTGAGTATGTTTGATTATCTTTTTCCCATTTTTTAGTAGAAGGCAAAATTTATGGTGCATTCATTAACTACATTATAAAGGAAAAAACATGAACCAATGATAAAACTATACTCCATAGTTAATATCTTAACATTGTTGAAGTATTGATATTGAGTACACCCTTTGAAACATGAACCAATAAAAATTAGGTAAAAGTATGGTGTCTTTAATATTATTGGTTAAAATCTTGAAGGTGTGATGTATTTTAAAATGGGTAAATTTCTTAAACTATCCTTATGGTTTAGCTAATTGATGACTAAGTGTACCTTTATTGTTTGAAAATTGACTAATGTTACCCCTACTATTTCTAATAATTGACTAACTCTACCCTTACTGTTAGGTTCTGTTAATATTCCGTCAAAACTCATAAGCACATGACATATAATTTTTTTAAAAACCCAATTTTACCCTCCACCTCCAACCTCCCCCTCTTTCATTGTAGATCTCTGATCTCTCCCTTTCGCTCTCATTCTCTTCTCAAGAACTGCCAAAATTGTAGTTGTTGAATGCTATAGGGGAATCGCGGTTATGACCTTTCCCCTTTCGTTCTCTTCTCTAGAACCACCAGAACTACAGAGATCGGATGCCATACGGCCACTGAGATCAAATATATAAACCGATTTCCCCATGGATTGCACAATATTCAGATACTGCTTATCTATAAATTTGATAGCTATTGGCCCACCACTTTGTCCCGGATTTAGTTGTTTTGACCCACTTGTCAATCCCTTAAGATGGACCTAGTTGTTGTCACTTGCTTATCCTAGCACGACATCCCTTCTGTTTTGCTAGAGAAGAGCGATTGCATAGCTTCTCTTTGGCTGTACAAGATTTATGATCGATTAATGCTTCACCTCCCCAAACAGTTCTGTGAGCTCCCTTTATTGGGCTTTCTGGAGGACTTCCCAGAGTACCTGTCGAGGCAACAATTCATCTCTTACATTGAGTCATATGCTGCCAAGTTTTCTATGAAGCCTAGGTTCCGACAATGGGTCAAAATGGCTAAGTTCCACTCGAGTTGTGGACTCTGGAGGGTTCGAACCCAAGACATCGAGTACTTCTCCTGGTGGCTCATCGTCGCTACCGGGGAGAACATTGAGCCTGTAATTCCCAAGGTTTAAAGTATCGAAAACGTAAGGTGTATCGAAAAGATAATTTTAAGAAACATATCGGGATACACTTTGGATACGTATGGATACGGACGAAAAATCAAGATACGCATAAATATGTTAAAAAACTCAAATAAATCCTAAAAAATATATTAATAGCGATAGTTACAAGTTTTATATGATTGTAAATAAGTTATTTAAAAATAAAAAAATTGTAATTTAATGGTCTATATAAAATTCGAGATATCATGACACACTTAGTAACTATTGACAAATGATGGAATAACTAAAATGTGAAAAAACTAAAATGTATATTGATATACATCAGTTTTAAATTAATCAATATAATTTAAATTTTAATAATTAATTCTAACATTTATTGATAAACATACACTAAGAAAAAGATAAGTTTTACTTGAAAATAAAAATGCATAAACCTATAGCAAGCAAATAGGCGTGGTTTAGTGGTGAACCTCTAGTTGTTAAAGCCTAATGGCTAAGGTTTGAATTTTAATATTGCTAAGTTTGTAGTTTTATACTAACAAAATGAATTTAATGAGAAAAAGTGTTATTAATTAACGAAATTAATGAAAAGAGAATTCCAATTAGGCGCTAAAATTGAAATTAAAATTTAAAATTATGCATTAAGTACATGAGTAATTAACTAATTAATATATAGGAGTAAATACAAAATTAATAAGAGGTAATTCGGCCCTAAGTATAATTTAATGAAAATAATGAAAGAGTAGGGGACTTGTATTGTATCTCGGATAAAATTTCAGGAATTGACAAGTTCTGTGGCCCTGTTATGCATTCAAGTGACTATAAATCTGGTGCAGATTTTCAAAATCAAAAGGTTTTGGTTGTGGAGTTGCCCCTCTTGTTCTCTTCTCTGGAACTACTGCAACTGCAGAGGTTGACACTTTGAATTCCATCTTCGTTTTTCCACTTGCTGCGAAGCTTGGTTCATCCCGCAAGTTACTTGTGAAGCTTTGTTCGTCCCGTTTTATAGGGTTTTTCGACCTAACGTAAAAGAAGATAGATCCAATCATCATCTGTCATTCTAACAGTTCTAGTGAAGAGAATGAGAGGGGGAGGGAGAGATCTGAGTAAGGAACCCATATCTCAGATCTGAGATTCGGTCATCATCCGCAGTTCCAGCAGTTCTGGTGAAGAGAATGAGAGGGAGAGGGAGAGGGAGAGATCTGAGTAAGGAACCCATATCTGAGTATCTCTCTGATCTGCAAAGAACCCATATCCAGTCATCATCCGTCGTTAACTCATGTTAATGATTAAGAAGGATTAATTAATTGTCAATAAATGTAGGGTTAATCAATTTTCAAACAATAAAGATACACTTAATCAATTAGCTAAACCATAAGAATAGTTTAATTAATTTACCCTTTTAAAATTTGGTGAAAATTTTGATTTAATATATCATAAGTATTAGTCAATGCAAATTAACCTGGTGTGAATCAAAAGACATGGAATTCTTATCATTGATTTTAAAATCATTATTTTGTGTATCACAAATATTAACCAATTGATAGTAAATACATCTGATGAAACATGAATCAATATGATAAGATTGGATTTGCTCTTAGCAATACCATACTTGCACCATACTCACAATCCTTTGCAGCCTTGGATTGGGAATATCAAAACCATACAACTACCATATGTTTGGCTGTAAAAGCTTGGTTAAGTGAGTACAAAATCCGAACTCTATTACATCATTGATTGTAATTTTAGTGCAATTTGGCTGGGAAGCCCTGTGAGAATGGGAATTATAGATGTATCCTTAGAAATTTCCAAAGAGGGATTGAGTACAGAGATTCGCTGCACACAATAAATGTTGATGCCTTTTCTAAGAAGAATATGATTACACAGGAAGGGTGTGACTCTTTTTGATGGAGCAGTAGCCAGTTACCCACTACTTTGTTAACGTTTTATGAGATAATGAGATTGCAGTGCTTTTAAGTCTATTGACTATTGGAGCTAAGAAATTACTTACAACGTTCTCCACTTCTCTCTTTAACATCTCCTCTTATCGATTCAACAATGGCGAGAGTACTGGAAAACACAGAGCCATTAGGCAGCGACACCATTGTTGACGAGAGAGAGGAAACAATGGTGTCCCTTACAGGAGGACAACCAACGTTGAGGATGGCCAGATTCCTCAAACCCAGCACAGGTTATCCTGGTGAAGCCGTTCAAGTCCCCTCAGTTCCCCTCTTATTTGATACAGCGGCTTCTGGGCTCCCAAAATGGCCTATAAAGATTGCTTTCAAAGGGTGGAGGTGGAGAAATCCGCAGAAATGGAAAGAATGGATCGAGGGTTTGCATCCACATTACGGAGACGTTTGGAAGGATGTCGGTATACACGAAGCAATTAGGAGTTCTGCATGTCAAATTCGAAGAGATGGTGAACTCATACTCCGGTTAGTCGAGTTCTGGTGCCCAGAGACGAACACGTTTGTCTTCCCTTGGGGAGAAGCAACCATTACGCTGGAGGACGTCTTTGTTCTTGGGGGATTCTCGATTCTAGGTGAATCCGTAACAGGTAGCTTGCCGGAAGAGCTTGCAGCGATAGGAGAAGAGATGAACAAAGAGCGGAGGAAATTTTCGAAAACAAAAGCAAGGAAAGCCAGCCACTCGGACTGGATGAACTACTTTATGGGTCGTGGGGGCGAATCGGAACACGTAGCCTTTCTTTCCTTGTGGCTCTCTAAGTTCGTGTTCCCTGCGCCTCCCTTCAAGACCGTGAGCTCCGACGTGTTTCCGATCTCAATTCGTCTGGCCAAAGGCACCCCACTTGCTCTGGCTCCAGCCGTCCTGGCAAGCATTTACCGGGACTTGCGTATACTCAAGGAGCAAGTTTTAACTGCTGCTGCTTCCACCGATTCGGCCGACGAGAGCAAAGATGGTGTACCCTTTGCTGTTTGGGCTCCACTCCAACTAGTCCAGATGTGGGCATGGGAGCACTTTCCGGTTTTGCGACCGACACCAAATCCCCTCAACCAAGGTAAGCCAAGAGCAGCCCAGTGGCAGGATTTGAAATCGGAAGTGGAACCTGAAACGGTGAGGTCGGTTATTGCGAGCTTGCCTGAGAATTTTCTGTGGCGCCCTTACGTCGCCAACCTTGTTAGTAATTGGAAACCACCTTCCTTCTACAAGGAACAAGAGGGGTGGTTCTTGGATTGCCCAGATTTGAATACAGAACTGCGATCATTCGCCCGCTGCTTGAAAGCTTGTGAGCTAGTGGGACTCAAGTGTATAGAGCAGTATCTTCCTCACCGGGTGGCAATGCAGTTTGGGATAGACCAAGATCTTCCTGGTCGTTTCACTCGGTGCAATGCAACGTGGGAAGACGCCTGGAGAACTTATGACAACCCTCGAAGATATGCCAGGTTCTACATTCCTGCGCGACTCTTCGAGTCGGATGTCACCATGAGATATCTCGAGTGGTGGAAGCAAATGAAAAACCCACCACCACCTGAGAGATCACCACAGAGGGAAGGGAATACGGCAGAAAGCCCATGCTCCTTTGATGCAATTGCAAAATATACTTCCAGACGTTACGGGTGGGGAAGACAAGACTGTGCTGATGAAGAAAGCAGCAAAGAAGTACCCACACCTATACGTGATCTGGAAGCCCGAATAGCTAAACTCGAGAGAAGTTATGATGAGCGTATAGCCCAACTAAAGAAATGCATCCGCGGGTGAAGATGGTGAGATGGGCATTTATGCAAGTAATTGGCTGCGCTAGCTCCTACAAAGGCACAAAGCCACAAACCGTATCATATTCCGGATATTCTACAAACATGTGTGTGGCATTGAAAAACATTACAAAACATTACAAAACATTCATATTCCAGACGTTCAAGAGTTGCATTCTCTCGTCGTTTCATAGCAATATTTCTGATTTTGCAATGTAGTGAAGTCCAGCAGGTGAGGAGGATTTTGTGATAACAGAATTAACATACTAGAATATTAGGCCTTTTCTACAGTCAATCCTGTTCCGCTTTGAATTTGATTATAGTTTGAGTTGATTGGATTTACTAGTTTTTTGATATGACTGATTGATTGGATTTGTTTCAAATAGGTTTTTTTTTTTTTTTTTTTGTGTTTGGTGCCATGCACCATTAATAACCCCTTTTTCCTAAATGCGTGGCTAAGGAATTGATTCTTTTATTTAGGCGGGAAACCTTATCAATCAGCTGATTGGCATCTTGCAAAAAAATTTATAGAAAAAGAAATAAGATCAAATCAAACCAGCTAACATATTAATTAACAGGCAATAAGTCACCCCTTGGTTTTTTTTAGTGGTGACCTTTTCTAAGGCAAATTTGTTTCGAAGCTTAAATTTAAAACCCAATACTTTGTCGTTTTACATTAAGAAAATTAAAATTAAAATGAATGGTGAATAAGAAGTAGGAAAACCAATGGTACAGTGTGGAATTGAACATGTGACCACTCTAGTGGCTCCACCACTGTATGGACAATGTAGGTCAACCACAAAATCTTTTCGCTTGCTCCATGAAGCTATCTTGTGCGTATATTGTATCTTGAGAAAAATAAAAGTGTGTAGTGAGTGAGATTGTGAAAGGGTGTTTTTTGGATGGTAAGATAGGGTCTGTGAAAGAGGCTGTAAACATTATAATTGATGTTCTCACTATTATATTATTTTATAGTAACTTAATTTCTTTTAAGCTTGTAGACATAGTTTATAACCAAAACCACGTAAATATCCATATGTATATGTATATGTGCTGCTTTATTTCTTGTTATATTGTTCTTTTTGGTTTAAGGCAAATATTTGATGATGGGTTTAATTTTTAATAATAATATAAATAAAACTTCATTTGGTTTTTTAGTTAGAGATCATGATAAGGTCCGCTAGTGGGCAAAAGGTGGTTCTTGTAAATCTGTTTCTCCTAAGGGATGGATTCGGATTGGGCTTTTTACAAAATTTGAATAGCGTGCTCTAGAGGTCTGCAATGTAAGAAATTATGAACCAATGTTTTTAACTGCAGTTGATTCAGATGATTGGACTGTTTGGCCTGGGAATCGTTTAGGTAATTGGTTTTGTTTTACCTCAAACCTGATCTTTGGCCAAAAACTGTTGAATTGGTCAACGATTCGTTAATTTGGATGACTGAATCATCAATCCGTTCAATGGTTTTGACTTTTTTTATATTAATTATTGTTTTTAAAATTTTGTCAGAACGGACCATCCATTCGAACCAAACAATCGAATAGTTCCGATTCTAGGTCGTTTAAGAAGACATCCAGAAAGTGATAATCTTCAGCGCGCTTATGAATTTACAGTCTTAATGATATTGAGAATTCTTGCAGCGGGATATCTATTATTATGCAAGGATATCTCGCTCTGTGCAGGCCGACCTGTGAAGTTCCAGTGGAGCCCAAGAGAATTAAATATGTCAATTCATATCTCCCATCTATGTTTATATTGACTACTCAACCTCCATGAGTTTGTATCCTGTATCTTGGGTCTAGTGTCATCTAATTCTCTTTACCAAATATAAATGTCTTTCGAGTGTCATCTAATGTTCTTTAATTATCAATGATCTAAACGTTGACAAAAAATGAATAGTCCTAAATTTTTGCCTCTTCTGTTCAAGAAAGTCGGGATCATATCTTAGTGGGCATTCTGGTAACCCAACTTTCTTAAATGAAGAGGCAAGGATTCGGTATTATTCATTTTTTGTCAATGTTTGGATGGTTAATAAAAAAATTAGATAACACTTGAAGGACATTTGTGTCTTTTCAAATACCACTTAACAACTAGTTAATAGGAGATACTAAATTGACACGTTTTGAAAGTTCAAGTACTGAATTGTTTTATTTTAAAGTTTAAGGAACAAAGGCATTGGGCCCGAAGTATAGGGTAATAATAAAAAAAAAATTCTTAATTAGTAATAGCTGGTAGATCACAATTAAGGGATAATGTAAGCATAAATGGGGGGTTGGTGACTATATAGTCAAAAAACCAATAAATTCTTTGAGGGAAAGCAAATCATAAATTTTATGTGGAAATTGCATCTTTTTGGTTTCCTTCGAGTTACCGGGAAATGTGTGGTCTTTGGCATTGAAAACCTACAAGGTAAATTGATGTGGGGGTGGGGCATGACAATTAGCCTAGGGCCCATCACTTCATGATCATGGCAACTAAGAATCCCTGGCGCAATGGGCCCTGGGCCCTAGGCTAATTGTCATGCCCCACCCCCACATCAATTTACCTTGTAGGTTTTCAATGCCAAAGACCACACATTTACTAGGGTTTATCCATGTCAACATGTATCTTCTTTGAGAGAAGTTATTTATCTATTTTCTCTATTTTTTTTATATTTTTCTTATTTTCTTTTGTTTTAAAAATATAAAACAGTAATCATTGCTTATCTTGATTAGATTAATAAAGTTGCACACTATTAGAGAGAGACCTTTGGGTTTTCCAATGCCTCTTATTTTAATGCATGCTATTATTACATTTAAGAGAGAGAGAGAGAGAGAGAAGTAATAATGTAAATCAAATTATAATAAATAGGATGAGGTTAAACAATAAAAAAGTTATTAATTTAAAAATCCACTAAAAATAAATATTAACAAAACTTAGTAAATATTGTGTTTCAATTCCACTTTAAAATCAAACTTTATAAACACTAAAAAAATAAGAAAGTTAAATATAAAAATATTAATTGATAGTTTTAAACTTTAATGAGCTCATTAAAAATGATAAAAATTAATAAAAATTTAAAATGCATAAGCCATTTTATTAATAATATTTTATTGCAAAAATTATTGAATAATAATGAAAAAATACCAACAATTAATTAAAAATAAGAAATTTAAATATATAAATATTAATTGATAGTTTTAATAATATTATTAGATAATTTTGTATTAATGCATTTTTAATTAATTAATATTTTTATGAGTCGAGACCTTTATTGTGCATAATGAACTCATTAAAAATGATAAAAATTAATAAAATTTAAAATGCATAACCCATTTTATTAATAGTATTTTATTGCAAAAATTACTGAATAATAATGAAAAAAAATACCAAAAATTAATTAAAAATCCAAAAAATTCTGAAAAACCTTAACATAATTAAAAAATATTGAAAATTAACAATATTTTATATTAATAAGGGTATTTACTGAAAATAATTAAAAAGTACAATTAATATTATTTTCTATTGACCATCAATAAAAATTGGAATGGTAAAAGTACAATTAATATTACCCCTTACCGTTATTTCTATTTGTTTTGTCGTTGTTTAAAAGTCCATTAGTTTTTTGTTTTGGGAATTCTGATTTTTATTTCCAAAATTACCCTCCCTATTTATTATTATCATTTATATGCTTTGCTCTTGTAACTATGTTTATTAATTTATTTTCTTCAAAACCAACAATAAGGGGTTGTTGTAGAGGTGTAAATCGGGTCATGCTGCCAGCGGCCCAATATGGTCCAACACGATTTTGAGCTGGCCCAGCCTGGCATGGCATGATCGAGCGGGCCATGTTGCCTGCAGCCCACATGCCGACATGGCCCAACACAACCCATATATATTTATATATTGTATATATAATATCTAATATGTATATATTATAATAATTATATAATATATTAATATATTTAATTTTATTTTCAGTTTTATTGTATTATTTCATTTTATTATTGAATAAATAAGCACTTGTATACATCAAATTTCATATAAAATAAAATTTTAAGATCTTTTTAGTTTTTTGTTTATATTTTTTAATTTATGTTAAAATTGTCATTATTTTTTCAAAAATTTAAAAAAACATGACTTGACCCAGTTTGTGGCCTGGCCTGGCCCAAGGTTTGGCCCGAAGAACGGCATGACACGGGCCCGTGTGGGCTTGGGATGTGGGTTGTGCTGAATTGACCCCCCAAAATATCCTAGGGGAGGGAAGCACAGCCTAACTCAGCCTGCAGGCCAACATAACACAACATGCACTTTGCACGGGCCGCATGCAGGTTGTGCCATGTTGGCCTAGCATGGCCCGATTTACACCTCTAGGTGATTGATTGGAAAATATGTGAATAGAAATAATATAGGTTTTTAGACACTTGGAACTTATGGAGTTCCAAGTGTTTTTGCTCTTTATTTTTGATTATATTCAGTTTTTTTGCCTTTCATCTCAAGAAGTTTCAACAGCAATATATGCCAAAATAATACTCAATATCATCTTTATCACAATTGCAAAGTTCTATTATCTCTTTCACTCTTTTAAGTTATGAAAATGCAATAGAAATTTATGTTTCACATTATGCTTTAGTTTAAAATTGAGTTTCTTTGATAATTATTTATGTTTAATTAATTTTAAGCATTTAGGGTTTTGGTTTATAAGTTTCAAGCACTTTTCATCTTTGGGTTTAATTCAGTGTTTAATTTTATGCCTTTAGCAAGCTTACATTTGCCTAAATCAAGTTTATATTTGTAATTTCTAAGCATTTTTTGGTGTTTTGTAATTTGTAAGTTCTCATACACCTAATCCTCTTAACCATCAGTGAAATACACCATAAAAATCCCAAAACTTAGTGTTTATTCTACATGAAGATCCAAGTTGTTTGCTTTCAACATCTTGCACTTGTAAGCTAAGAGCAAAACCCTCATGCTGGTTTGCTTTTGGCATCCTCTAGGTTTTGTTTCAACATCTTGCATTGGAAAGTTG